AGGAGAGAGAGAGAGACAGCGTGAGCAGGGGAGGGTCAGAGAGAGAGGGAGTCACAGACTGAAACAGGCTCCAGGCTCCGAGCTGGCAGTCAGCACAGAGCCCGACGCGGGGCTCGAACCCACGAACCGCGAGATCATGACCTAAGCGAAAGTCGGACGCTTAACCGACTAAGCCACCCAGGCGCCCCGGTTACTGTTTTTCTACTATATCTTTTCCCATCATGTTTCCCCCATATTCATGTCCATATGTGTCCATTGATGTCTCTTGAAAACAATGACTGATTGCCTTTTGCTTTGTTTTGTTTTTTCTCCAATCTGACGTTCTCTTTTAACCATAAAATTTTGATTATTTACATTTACCCCAATCACTAATATATTTTAAAATGTTTCTACCACTTTAAATTGTAATTGCTATTTGCCATGTTTTCTTTGCTTATTTTTATCCTTTTACTGCCCTTGATGAAGCTTTCTATATTCTTTTTTCTTTCTCTTACTCTTATTTTTTAAATTTATCTTTAAAGTTTATTTATTTTGAGAGAGATAGAGTGTGCTAGTGGGAAAGGGGTAGAGAGAGAAAGAGAGAATCCCAAGCAGGCTCTGCACTGTCAGCGTGCAGCCTGATGTGGGGCCCAAACTCACAAACTATGAGACCATGATCTGAGTGGAAGTTGAATGCTTAACCAACTGAGTCATGAAGGCGCCCTCTTTCACTTTAAAAATAATGTTTATTTATTTATTTTGAGAGGAAGAAAGAGAGAGAGAGAGCAGGGGAGGGGCAGAGAAAAGAGGGAAAGAGAGGATCCCAAGCAGGCTCCACGCTGACAGCACGGGGCTCAGTCTCACCAACCAGGAGATCATGACCTGAGTGGAAATCAAGAGTTGGATGCTTAACCAACTGAGCCACCAAGGTGCCACCCACTCCTTTTCTTCCTTTTAATGTGCATTTTTAAGTTGATAAACATTCTAGGCTAATAATTTAATCAGTATCTCTACTTTCCTCACAAACATAAAAGGATTTTTGAAACCTGATGACTCCCTCCTATCAGACGTATTACTTGCTAGTATTTTAGTTCCATGCTGTTTTCTTATCCCTCAAGTTAATTTAAGCATGGCCAGATCCTCAAATGATTAACATACTAAAAATAGAGACCTTCAAAACAGTGGTTCAAACAAGAGAGAAGTGTTATTTCTTTCTCACATAATATTCCAGAAGCAATGAAGTGGTCTAAGACTGTTAGGCAGCTCCATCCTGTGGGGTCACTCAAGATAGTTTTCTTCCATCTTGTTCTTCTACCCTCCCCTACCTAGGGTTAAATTCTGGTACCAGAATGCTCTTAACCACCATATCATAGTCATCTTAACTTCCCAGATGATAATTCACCTCTACCATGTCCACATTCTACCCTGTGGGAAGGAAGAAAGATGAAGTTGAACACAAGCAACTTCTTTTAAGGAAGTGACTTGGAAGTACATATGCTTGCAAAAGAGGCTGAGGAAGGTAGTCTCTTGCTGGGTGGCCAAGAGCCCAACTAAAACTTGGAGGCTTCTGTTATGGGAAGAAAGTGAGAATGGGCTTTGGGAAACAAGTTGCAGCCTTCATGGGCTTCAGCAGAATCCTCTTCTTTCTCTGTGTTTGCTTCAATCTTAGACAAGCAGCTTCCCCCATCCTCCAGTGATGGCAAAGATGATCACTAACAACATTATCTTAATGGTCTCTCATTTCAGCAATTCCAGTAAAAATAAGGGAGTGGCTCCTTACAAATAGTCCCAACTGAAGTCTAGGATTTCCTCTAATTGCTCCAGTGTGGCTCACATGTCCATCATAAACTAGTCACTTTGGCCATAGGGATGCAGTGCCCTAGTAAATAGGTATGGGTCACATAGTCATCTATAGAAGGTGGATCAAGTAGGGTTAATCCTATGCAAACCATAGGAACTCAAAGTTGGAAAGAAGTGGTCCCCAACAGACAAATACTGAGGTGCTGCCATCATCAGAATGGAGGCTGAGCAAGCAACATAAACAGATGACCATTAGACTTATCTATCCTATCAGGCTATTGGATGGTTCAAGAAAGTTGTGCCATTGAATGTGTTTTAAAAATCCAAATAAACAAAGATGGAAGGTGATGCTGATGATGAAGTTGCATGGGATACCCTTCCTTACAATTCTGATAGGAGAGCTTCTACTCAGCTCTCCTTGGTCATACATTCGGCACCTTATGAACAAACCTCTGTTATGCGGACCATACCACTTACTAATTATTGATTTTGTCTGTCTCCCAGTCCTCCCATAACACACCCCTCTGATTGAGGGCCCCCTCGGAGCTAGAACTTGTTTGCATTCCACAATGCCCAAGGCACAGGGTGGGCATCAGGAGACTAGACTTGTTAAATGAAAGCAGGGTGGGGGCGCCTGGGTGGCTTAGTCGGTTAAGCGTCCGACTTTCGCGGATGGTCATGATCTCGCAGTTCGTGGGTTCGAGCCCCGCGTCGGGCTCTGTGCTGACTGCCAGCTCACAGCCTGGAGCCTGTTTCAGTCTGAGACTCCCTCTCTCTCTGACCCTCCCCTGCTCACGCTGTCTCTCTCTCTCTCCTAGAAATAAATAAAACATAAAAAAAAATTAAAAAAAAAAAAAAGAAAGCAGGGTGAAGTCTCAGTGACTCTCAGTAGCCCCTCCAGTTTCTAATCCCTTTGAAACTCATTATTGGGAAGAGGCCCACCAAATCCCAGGGAGTTCTGCAGAATTGGGGGTCAGACCAGATTATGTTGTTTATAGAAATGTATTTCCTAATGACTGGAAAACAGTGCCAGGCATCATATTATTTGTGGAGCTCAAATCAAATCATAGAAAGACAAAGACCCAAGTAGGAGGAAGTTCAACAGATAATTGATTAATCAGACTTATCGTCTCATCCTGTTTAAGGTTAAAACACACACACACACACACACGCACACACACACACCAGCTCCATTCCCAATCTAAACATGAAAGTGACTTCCTTCCCCAGAAACACCAATGCCCCTGTTTACCTGATGCTGAAAACTCTACCTATCTTAGAGAGAAGCAAAGCTGAAGACCAGTGACCGTTGCTAGTGATAGGTAGTAGAACACAGTATAGGAGATATAAATGGGGGGACATGAAAAAGAGGCCAAAGCATACTTAGAAAAACAAAAGGTCTTCCTGGAGGTGTTCAAGTGGCTGACCTACTTGGGAAGCTCCACCTAGGGTTTCCTGGATGGGTCCTTTGAATACTAATAGATACCATTCACTGAGCCATTGCCATACTCCAGATGTTGTGGTAAGCATTTTTAATGCAATATCTCATTTTAGGGGTGTCCAAGTTGCTCAGTCAGTTAAGTGTCCAACTCTTGATTTCGGCTCCAGTCATGATCTCACCATCATGGGATCGTGCCCCACATCTTGGGATTCTCTATCCTCTCTCTCTCTGCCCCTCTCCCAGCTCACACTCTGTCTCAAAATAAATAAATAAACATTAAATACACACACACACACACACACAATTTTAATTCTCAGAACAACATTGCAAGTTCAGAATTGGTATCCCTGTTCACAGGTAAAAGACCAGAAAGGTGCAGTGATATTCCATGGCCGTACAGCTAAGAAATGAAAAAGCCAGAATTTGAATCACTGGATTTGATTTGACTCAAAGCTTCCACTCTGAGACCTTAACGATCCTCAGCAAACCACTTTGAGGTAGCCATTATTTCCTCCATTCTATAAATGAAATCTACTGAGGCCCAGGGATGATCCAACTTGCCCAAGTGACAAGATAGTAAGTGTCAGAGCCCAATCAAGCCTGTCTGACTCCAAAATCTACCGCGCCTCTTAAGTAGAGGAAGAGCAAAAGCCAGGGGGTCAGGAACATGCCAGTATGTCCCTGTGCATCAGGCCCTACCCTGTCCCCTTGTTTCCTTTCTACCTTCAACCTCTACACACAGGCCCCTTCCAAGAATTTTCTTTTCCCTGTCTCTCCCCAGTGTGACCCCTGGGCTGAAGAGGGACTGGGTAGCTCTTGGGCAGCTCTAAGACACCCTTCCCCTAAAGGTCCTCTAAAAAAGGGACAGCCAGGATGCCCCCAGCCTGGGGAATCACATCCCCACGTATCTGAGCAGGACTGGCAAGTGCTTGGATCAGGAGCCAGCCAAACTGAGCTCAAATCCCGCCCAGTAACACCAGCTTTCTCTTTAAAAAGCATCTATTCTGGGAACAGACATTTCACTCGGGATATCCTTCGTATTTTAAAAACTGAATCCCCCTCCTCCATGATTGGCCCGATTTTACAAAAGAGGAGCCTCGGGCTCCCAGGGGGGCGGGGGGGAGGAGAGCGGCATAAGGACAGCCAAGTCAGTCACCAGCCTGAGACTTGAACCCACCTAGGCCCCAGATTCGGCTGTTGCCTAGGAGCTGAGGAGGGAGGAGCTGCCGGAGCGGAGGGGGGAGGGGACGAGCCAGGGCGAGCTCCCAGCAGCGCGCGCTGACGAAAGCAGGTGATTTTTTTCTGCAGCTCGCTTTCTCTCAGCATCTTTCCTGGATTTTTTTCCCCCTGCCGAGCCGTAGATAAGGGTGGGGCCGCTTGCCTGCAGCAGAGACGGCGGCGGCACAGCGGCTGCAGCATCATTGGGAGCAGCTGCTGCAGCAATGCTCGGTCTCCGCTGGAGGTGATCGCCTCCGAGCCCTGCTAGGTGGCCGGCTGCGACGGGACGCCTCGGAGTAGGAGAATACAGCCTCGTCCGTGGACCCGAAAGCCACACTGCTCGGCCCTTCCTCTACGCCATGGCTTAAGCCCGCAGCCACCTCGCCTCGCGTCGCCTCGCTTGGCCGGGGTCTGCGCGCCGCCGCCGCAGGGAGGGGCGCGACCCAGACGCCCTCGCCCGGGGACTCGGGGACGCCTTGTGTCTCACCCATCTGTGCCCGCAGCAGACTGCGCTCCCAAGACCTTTGCAGGAGGCTCCCGGAGGCGTTTGCAGCCGGTAATCGGGGGACTTTACGGACTTTATCTCGGTGATAGTTTGACCTTCCTGGGCGCTCTCTGAGGGAGAAGACCGAGGTAGCGCAGGCCACTAGGGGAAAAACGGTGGGAACCAGATTAGCTACTGGTCGAGGGCCAAGGGACTGAAGTAAGATTAGAGACTTGCTTGAGAGCCACAAAAAGAAAGAGGCAGGGCCAGCTTTGCAGCTAGCATCATGGCGTGGCCGTGCATCACGCGGGCCTGCTGCATTGCCCGCTTCTGGAACCAGCTGGACAAGGCGGACATCGCTGTGCCGCTGGTTTTTACCAAGTACTCGGAGGCCACCGAGGCCCCGAGCGCCCCGCCGCAGCCGCCGCCGCCTCAGCAGCAGGCGCAGCCGGCGCACGCGCCCCCCTCGGCGCGGGCGGTCGCCATAGAGACGCAGCCGGCCCAGGGCGAGTTGGATGCAGTTGCCCGGGCAACGGGGCCGGCGCCGGGGCCTAGCGGCGAACGCGAAGCGGCGGCTGCCTCAGGCCGGAGCGGGCCGGGCCCCGGCCCGGGCTCTGGCTCCACCTCCAGCGCGGGCCCCGCGGACTCGGTGATGCGTCAGGACTACCGCGCCTGGAAGGTGCAGCGGCCCGAGCCGAGCTGCCGGCCGCGCAGCGAGTACCAGCCTTCCGACGCGCCCTTCGAGCGCGAGACCCAGTACCAGAAGGACTTCCGCGCCTGGCCGCTGCCGCGCCGCGGGGACCACCCGTGGATTCCCAAGCCCGTGCAGATCCCCGCGTCCTCCCAGGCTGCGGTGCCAATTCTCGGGGCGTCCAAGCGCCGGCCCCAGAGCCAGGAGCGTTGGCCCACGCAGGCCGCGGCCGAGGCCCAGGAGCAGGAGGCGACCCCTGGCGGAGCGGGTGGCCTGGCAGCCGGAAAGCCCTCCGGTGCAGATGAGCGCGACACACGCAGGAAGCCCGGGCCCGCCTGGATGCTGCGTCGCGCCGAGGGGCAGGGGCCGGAGCAGACGCCTCTGCCCGCAGTCCAGGCCCAGGCCCAGGTCCAGGCCGCGGTCCCCGAGGGTGGCAAGGGACGTGCAGCGGTGGACGCCCTCAACAGGCAAATCCGCGAGGAGGTGGCGAGCGCGGTGGGCAGCTCCTACAGGTGAGATGCGGGCCTCAGCGCAGACGACAAGTCACCCTTACCCTTTCCTGAAGGCTGCTCAGGCCGGGGCTCATTCTCTGCACCCGCAGGCCTCACATGCAGCCCCTCCCCTTCCAGACCACACCCTCTCCCCAGCCGCATCCCAGACACCCTTCCAGGGCTGGCTTCTTCCTGCTCTTTCTTATGTGAGGCTGTTAGTGCTGTCCACCCCGGCCTGCCGTCTTTCCCTCTACCGCTTTAGCCACTTCCCCCCCTCCCCGCCCCCAGCCCTGCCCCACCTTAGATCCCTGCCTGCTCAACAGAGACCCTTTGCTGTTTCTTCGCAGGTTGTGCCATTCTGCCCCACCCACCTCACCAGCTGCATTCGCCCGGACGCTGCCCCTGGCTGGCTGAGCTGCTGCCCACTGGCCTTGGTGCCTTCCCGCAGGGCCCCATCCTCCTAGAGGAAGACCTCTTTACCAATGGCCGGTCCCCCTCCTCCCTAGTCCAGTCTACTTGGCCATTCATTCTTCCCTCCCTCTCTCAGTCCCTGGGAGAGATCCAAGCACCACACCCTTTTCCAGATTCCCTGCAGGGCTCTTAGAGACCACCCTCCTCCTTCTACATCAGCCTTGTAAAGTCAGATTCCTTCCTCCTCTTAGTAGCTGTGACACACTGAGCACGTTTCTTTACCTTTCTGGGCTTCAGGTTCTTACTTGTAAGATGCGATTGATGGTAGATTGTTCTCTTAGAATTGCTTGTTCATTTATTAAATATAAATGTTGGATATATTTTTGAGCACCTACTATATATCTGGCACTGCCCTAGACATTGTGAGGATTAAATGAGATGGAGTAGGAGAATTATGCCTGGCACATCGTAGGTAAAATCAATGTCTTAGTTCAATTGCAAGTTTGTGCATGATGCCTTGTTATTCAGATTTCCACTTCCTAGATGCCTCCAGCCTTCTCCCCTATTGATGCATTTTCTTTCTCCTTTCCCCTTATGTTCTCCAGTTGTGTTGTTCATTCTGTTACCACTGAGAACCCCTTCCTTAGCACATTTAAATTCCCTGTAAATGAATGCCTCCAAGAGAGGGCATATCCATTTTCCCTCTGTGTGTGTGTGTGTGTGTGTGTGTGTGTGTGTGTGTGTCTTTCTGCCTCTCTCTCTTCCTCCCTCCCTCCCTCTCCCTCTCTCCATCCTTCTAGAATTCTCCCTCGGCTGCAGCCTCAAGCCCTTCCAACTTGCCTTCTCACCCTTCATATATCCAATATGTATTTCTGAATGCTTAGCTCTCCATCCTGCCCTTATGTTTTAACCCAGATCAAGAAGCTAACAGATCCCATTTGACTCTGAATGTGTAACGTTGGGCTGTATGGTCTCTGGGGAAACAGATGTACATGATGAATAAATGAGCTAGTGGTGTGGCTTATCGGGTCCTTCATCAATGCCATGGCCAGTTGCCTCTCTCTTGCAGGAGACTGTGGTTGGGGGAGACTGCAGAGTTAGTGTCTTTTGCCAAGACCCTATATGTAGCCTCATGTCAGACTGATGTCTTTCTCCAGTGAACATAACAACCACTCCCTCACATGCTGAGGGAAGCATAGTATAGATAGATATCATCTCCCTCCCAGGTTTTGACTCCGGAAAGCATTTTCCAATGAGAGGGGGCAGCTAATATTTGGCACCTACTCCATCTTCCTGAATTCCCACTGGCCATTTCTCTCTTGTTTTATTGTTATCTCGACCACAGTGGTCCCCCAGGAATGCACTACCTTTTTTTTTTTTTTTATGGCTTTGGTCAGGCCAGATCCTTTTCCTTGGTTCCCAGCCATCAGGAGTGGAATTTTCACAATTTCTTCATTCTACTACCAAGAGAGGATCAAAAAGAAAGGAAGGAAGCAAATAAGCAAGGAGCATGAAAAACAAAGCCAAGATGTAGTTTTGTGATTCTGCCATGGCCTTCTTGTTTTACAAGCTTGTTTACAAGCTCTCTTCATTCCCTGAGAGCTCTACCATTGGCCCAACATCACAGATTTCTGATCTGGCTTCCTCATCTTCGTATTCCCATCCTACTACCCTGTGGCAAGTGGAACCTTACACCCACCTCACCTCCTCAGAGGAACTACCCCCCCTCACCTCCACAGAGTCAAGGCCAATCAAGAGAGATCCCAAATTCTCAAATCTCCTTCGGTGATCTGCCTCAGTTTATGTTTCCAAGGTAGTAGAACTTTCTTTATTCATGGATTATTGGCAGGAGAGTCAGGGAATGACCTACCCTTCAGCTACAACCCCCCAAATATTTTGGCTTGTATCGTTGTTCCATCTGGCCTCTTCCCCCCAAAACACTACCTTAACTGTACAGTAAGCATGTCAGGCTTTACAGTTAGAAATATACTCAGGGAAGCCTGTGTGGCTCAGTTGGTTAAGTGTTCGACTTCGGCTCAAGTCATGATCTCTCCATTTGTGAGTCTGAAACCCGCATCAGGCTCTGTTCTGACAGCTTGGAGCTTGGGGCCTGCTTGAGTTGTGTGTGTCTCTCTCTCTGCTCCTCCCCCGCTCTCACTCTCTCTCTCTCTCTCTAAAATAAATAAACATTTTTTTTCAACTTAGAAATATACTCACACTACAAGTGATGGAATTGAATGGGGGAAGGCTATGCTCTTGCAGCTGGTGAGAATGATTATTTTTAGTGGCTATCAGAACTCCACCAACCTATCAAAAAAAAAATCTCTGAGCACCTCAAAAAATTTTTTTTCTCATTTGGGTCTTCTGTAAAATTTAATTATGCATGTGACTTAGGGGCCAGCAGTTCCATTTTGCTGTATAATCAGGAGGGGTTTGAAGCATTGAGGAAATGAGTGTTGCTAAGAGACATAAATTTCCTTAATGGGCAATTTAAGTGCATGACAATTTGATGTGAAATTTAATGTTGTTTTTGGTTTCAGAAGAAAAATTAACTAATCATAAGAAAATGCACTTTGGGTGAAACTAGATATGAAGAAATAAGATAATCAATTAATCAGATATATCATAAAGAAAAAAGATGCCTGGAAATTGTAGTCTTATCTGGAACATTGGTTTTTCCTTCCCTATTGTCTCGTGTTCTTTCCCTTGCTATGATTCCAAATATCTCCTGAATTTAAGTATGCCCCATGGCTGGCAAAGATGAGTCTTACATTGTCTTATTAGAAGCCAAGTTGGGTTCCATTTCAAAGATAATTTGATTTACGAACCTTTTCTTCTGCCACTCTACATAAATCATGGTGGCTTACACCATGGCGACTGGTTCATCTCATGGGCTTTCCAAGGGACATCTGTCACATGACATCAACACGGAGCAGTTTGCTTAAGTAGAGAAAGGAAACGTAATCCATCAGCTTACCATACTGGTGTATAATGTAAAATATACATTCAGCACGCAGAGTCATATACATACTAATTGGTTTTCTCCTACAATATTCAGTTAGTAGATAACATCATATGTCTTTGGTGCTATGATTTTGAGAAAACTTCTGAATTCAACAGTTCATCTAATTCATAACCTATCCACACTAGCCTGAGATTTTTGCATTAAGTGCTATCTCAGATATCTTTCATTATTCACAATCATGAAGTTGATTAGTCTTTAGTACACTCATATGACATAGATGATATTATAAAATCAGGAAAGCATGCCTCTGTTATCATTTTTAATGTTAAGGATGGATTTCACGAGGCAGCCATTTGTGACTTTAGACCTAGCATTCTCAATCAGAAAAGAGGTGAGTCATGAGGAGGGGATTAAAATTCCCCTCTCGGTCAACCCCACTGCCCTCACCATCAGTTAATAAGAGATAGATGGGGTGGCAGGTGCTCCCCATAGAAATGCTAATGAGAACCTTTTCCTGGAAGAAGTCAGCTGAGGCACCAGGAGGTAGAATTAATAAACCAGAGGCAAAGTATTTGACAAATGAGAGTAGAAACAAGGAAATCAGAAAGAAAAGGAGCCTTTAGTATCTGCCCTACAGTCTCCCATGAAGGTTAGAGAAAGGCCCTTCTGACGTGGCTTCTGCTCACAGAACCACCCTGTGCTTCTAGGGCAACTGCCCACTTCCCTAATTTCTTCCTGGGTAAGTCTCAGCAATGTTTCAAGGCCAAGTCTCAGCAATGTTTCAAGGCCAATCTCAGATACTGAATCTTTAAGGATACCTTCCAGGATCTGCCATTCAGAACTAATTTTTCTTGTATTCCCTTTTTATATTCTATACACTTCTCATTGTCGGCTTGATTGTAAGATACTTTTTTCCATATCTGTCTTTTCTACCAGATCACAAAGACTTGAAGAGCAGGGCTGTATTTTGTTCATCTACTTCTCACAGTGTAACCTTGTGCCTAGGTGCCATGTAGATTTGCTGAATCCAGTAGAATATTTAGAGTTTGGTGAAAATCTTATCCACCTATACATTGATTCATTTCATTCAGCTTTATTTAGTTGGATTTATTTTAAAAAAAAATGACCACCAAGCCCCTGCTATGTATCAGATAGGGTTTTGGGGATACCAAATGATTACATTAAAACCTTTGTGTAAGGGGTTGTGCCTGACTTGATCAGGATAAAGTCCAGTCTCTACTAGGTTAGCACCAGAAGTAAATGTTCAAATGAGGACAGGGTGCAAACTTAAGAAACCTGATGTTCCTGCACTCAAAGCAGTGATCCTCAACCTTGACTGCACATTGGAATCACTGGAGAGCTTTAAAAAATGCTGATGCATAGGTGCCTTGCCTAGGAATGCTGATTTAATTGCTCTGGGGTGTGGTGTGGGCATCTGAATAGTTTAAAAATGGTCCCAGGTGATTCTAATGTGTAATTCAGGCTATGACCTACTTCCCGAAGGCGAGGGTTCTCAAAATTTAGTACACCAAAGAATGATCTGGCAAGTTTCCTAAAACGCAGATTCCTGGGCCTCATCCTCAGGCATACTGATTCAGTAGGTTTAAACTAGAGCCTAAGAAACTACACTTTAACAAGCAGTCTG